TAGGTAGACAAAATGCCAAATCCAGTCTGAACATCTGGCTGACTGTGCGATGATCCATAATAAAAAAATAATAATAATAACAATAAAGTTGGAAGGGACCTTGGACACCATCTAGTCCAACCCCCTGTTCAGGCAGGAAACCCTATACCATTTCAGACCAATGGCTGTCCAGTCTCTTCTTTAAAAACTTCCAGTGTTGGAGCATTCACCGCTTCTGGAGGCAGGTTGCTCCACTGGTTAATTGTTCCCACTGTCACTAAACAAGCTGTTTTAAGTTGACAACAACCTGTATACGCAAACGAAGTGGGTCTTTCAAGATTTGGCATGAGGTCCTGCCCAGAATTGCTCAACGGGTGTAGAGAGATTTTAAGGGGACCCGCCTGCTCCCTCTGCAGCCCCCCACCCCCTTTTGCTCTTTCATGTGGGGGGGGGGGCGCATGAGCGCAGGCTTTCCCACACCCTATCAGAGTCCGACAGACTTTTTCAGGCATTAAATAGGTTATCGCTTTGTTGTTGTTTTTTTAAAGGGGAACCCGCCACCCGCAAGGCCGGCTATTAATGGAAGGGGGAAATGATGGTGCTGTTTTTTGAAATTCTGCTTTTCGTGCAGAGGGACATGCCAGCTCTTCCTCTCCTGCGATTTAATTCGGAGGAATAAAGCATCCCAGTAGAGAGTGGCAGGTGAGCCCCAATAGGGACGGCTGAGAAAAGTATGAAATAGGAATAAAATACATCAAAATGATCAGCCTCTAAATCAAGGGCCTTCCAACTTGGCGACTTGAAGACTTGTGGACTTCAACTCCCAGAATTCCTCAGCCAGGAATTCTGGGAGTTGAAGTCCACAAGTCTTCAAGTTGCCAAGTTTGAAGGGCCCTGCTCTAAATACAGGCAGCCCTCGACTTACAACAGTTCATTTAGTGACTGTTTGAAGTTACAACGGCCCTGGGGAAAAGTGACTTAGGACTGTTTTTCACACTTACGACCGTTGCAGCATCCCCCCGCGGTCACGAGGACAAAATTCAGAGGCTGGGCAAACGGACTTGCATTTATGAGTCAGCCTCAACCTGGAGCATTGACCAGTGGTGCAGCTTGCCTCCCAGAGTTGCGAGTGGTGCTCCAGGCTGGCTCGGGAATTCTGGGAGTTGAAGTCCACCAGTGGTAAAGTCGCCCTCCTTGTCCATCTTTAAGAGGGGGAGAGCTGCCCCCTTGAGTCGAGGCCCCTTTTGTTTGACCCCCCCCCCTCCAACCAACTTTTGGTTGACACCCAAACTCCTTCAAACATCTGATTATGGGTCCTTCCCATCAGTGGTTGCTCCTCGTGGTCCAGATGCTTCCCGTGTCGCGAAGCCTGACTATCTGCTTGAACTCCGATACCCCCAAAAGAGAACCAGAGTTCAAAACTCAGGATCCCCAAGAACGCATGAGACTTCTGGAGCACCTTCAAAACTTCTCCAGCTGAGCATCGTTCCTGGACATGCGCATTGCTTGGTGACCACCCCCAAGCGGTTGGCCTGTCTTTCCTCAACCCACCAAGGAACTACTATAGTAGCTTC